CCAACCCCAGGGACTACAAATGACATAATAATAATAAAAGAGAGGATTCAGAAATACCTGAAAATGGGCGCTCTTGGTTAATCGATCCACGATGACCCAAATAGAGTCGAAGCCCATAGCCGTCCTCGGTAGCTTGGTGATGAAATCCATCGTGATATGCTCCCATTTCTATATGGGAATCTCCAGGGGCTGCAGCTGACCATGCGGCCTCTGATGCTCGACCTTGACCATCCTGCAGGTCAAGCACCTCTCAATGTACCATGCGATCTCCCTCTTCATGCATGGCCACCAGTATCTCAGTCGCAGATCTCGGTACATCTTGGTGGCCCCTAGGTGAATAGAGAAGCGAGACTTATGAGCCTCCTCCAGAACAATCTGTCTGACCCCACCAGACATCGGAACCCAGACCCGACCGCAACAGGTCAATAATCCCCGACTATCCTGCACAAATCGGGTGTTCTCGCCCCCGAACCTCTCAAGGTTCCAGTTCTCCGGTCGCATACCCTCAGCCTGAGCTTCCCTAATCAAGCTCGCGAGTGGATAATCCACATATATCCTCATACATGTGTAACGCCCCGATTTTCAGGTATTGGTTCCTGTAAGAATCTTCTTGGTTTCAAGGTCTACTCGACGAGTTGGCTGCCCCACTCATCGAGTAGCAGCGGGTTGGTCCGTGTGTTTTAGTGACCTACTCGTCGATTCCAAGAAGGGACTCGACGAGTAGGAGCTGGCAGATGAAACCCTAAATCCCGGGGTATTGCACCCTATTTAAAGGATCATTGGCCTTCCCCAGCCTCCTCTTTACAGTTCCTTGGCACCCTTAAACCCTAAATCGTGTGTGTGTTTTTCTTTGGTGTGATAGAGCTTGGAAGAGAGAGCTTGGTGAGGAACCCTTAGGGGAAACAAGTAAAATCAAGTTAGGAGCTTGTGGGAAGCAAAGATATACATCAGTTGACACTCTCTGGAAGGTATTAAGCTGTCTCTTTGGCTCATCTCATCTTTAACCTCTTTTTGGGTGGGTTTTAGGAAAATCTTTTGTGTTTGAGCCAATATCTGAAGTTGCAACTTCAGATCTGGACTCCCTTTGGTCTCTAGATCCATAAAGGTAGAAGCTTTGGCAAGCATGAGCCTTCCCTCAAGTGTTGGACTTCATTTCAAGCTTAGTTTTGTCATTTTAGGGCCTTAAAGCTTTGCATGCACGTAAATTTTGCAACTTTACGTGATAAGCAGGACTTGGAAGGTTGGATCTGCAATCTGGAGCCTTTGTATGCCTTAAAAAGCATCTGTATGGATGAAGGACTGAAGGGACTCGGCGAGTCGTATGAACGACTCGGCGAGTCAGATGAAGATTTTCGTAGACTCGGCGAGTCAGTAGAGTGACTCTGCGGGTCCGTTGAAGATTGCCCTGGACTCGGCGAGTCGGTGAGTGACTCGGAGAGTTTGTAAAATTAGGCAAGAACTCGGCTAGTATTCGAGGGTGCTCGACGAGTTGAGGTTAACATGGACTGTTGACCTTGCCACTTGACTTTGACTTTGACCAAGGGTTGACCAGTTGACTTCTGGGGGTATCTCGGGAATTTATGAACTTTGGGATGTGTTGGATATAGGTGGTGGAGTTGGTGGCGGTGATCTGGGAGTTGAGCTTTCTATTTCCAGTCGGCAGCTGCGAGGTGAGTTATCCTCACTATACTCAAGGGTCTAAGGCACCAAGGTCGGCCCTTTGAATTGTTATTGGTTATGTTATGCTAGTATGATCTGTTAGATCGGTATCCTAGAGGGTAGGATGATAATATGTGATATGTGGTATGACCTGTTAGTTTGGTATCCTAGAGGGTAGGATAATATTATGTGATATGATCTGTTAGATCAGTTGTGTCTACAAACTGTTATGTGATTATCTGTTATATGTGCACATGTTTGTGTGGCGGTTGAGGCTTATCTGCTTTGTGCGAAAGCCAATAGGCATGGGCATTCCAACCTGTGGGTTGTGGGCCGTGAGTATTCCATCCCGAAGGATGACTGGACTCATAGTATGTGGGCATTCCAACCTGTTGGTTGTGGGCCTGGGGTATTTCATCCTGCGGATGATTGGACTCATAGTATGTTGGCATTCCAACCGGATGGTTGAGGGCCTGGGGTATTCCAACCCGATGGTTGACTGGACCCATAGTATGTTGTTTACGAATATATGTGTATTATTGTGGGTATGGGTATTTTGGGGGAACTCGCTAAGCTTCCGGGCTTACAGTTTCAGTTTATTGTTTCAGGTACATCAGGGGATCGCGGCAAGGCGAAGGCATGATCGTACAGCTCCTCATGATTTGTTTATGTTTCTGGGAAACTCTGATATTATACATTTTGAAAACAAAGTTGTAATGATTTTTAATGGTTTGAAACGTTTTTAAAGGTTTAAATTTGGCATGATTTTTATGAGTGTTACAACATGCAGTTGGAGCAGAAGATCCAGCTGACTTGCGGCTCAGGGCGTCCGCAACCACATTCGCTTTACCAGGATGGTAAAGGATCTCGCAGTCATAATCCTTGACTACGTCAAGCCACCTGTGTTGCCTCATGTTCAGGTTCGGCTGATCCATGATGTACCTCAGACTCTTGTGATCCGTGTAGATGGTACAACGGACCTCATAGAGGTAATGTCTCCAAATCTTGAGAGCGAATAATACCGCTCCCAACTCCAGGTCATGAGTGGGGTATCTCATCTCGTGCGGCTTCAGCTGCCGCGATGCATATGCTATCACCCGTCCTCCCTGCATAAGGACTGCTCCTAACCCGGTGATCGATGCATCACAAAATACTACAAAATTCTCAACTCCCTCAGGGAGTGTTAACATTGGCGCCTCGCAAAGTCGTTGTCTCAGCGTCTCGAATGCAGTCTGTTGCTCAGGCCCCCACCGGAAACCACCCTCTTTCTCGTCAGACGAGTGAGAGGTACCGTAATATTGGAGAAATCCAGTATGAATCTCCGGTAGTACCCTGCCAATCCCAAGAAGCTCCTAATATCCGAGGGAGATTTCGAAACCTCCCACTGCATAACAGCCTCGATCTTGGCCGGGTCGACCAAAATCCCCTCCTGGTTAACGAGATGTCCAAGGAACTGAACCTCTCGTAACCAAAACTCGCACTTCGAGAACTTGGCATAAAGTCGTTCTCGCCTCAAGACTCCCAATAGCTCCTGAAGATGCTCCTCGTGTTGCTCTCCAGTATTGGAATACACCAAGATATCATTTATAAACACAATGATTGAGAGATCAAGCATCGGTCTGCATACCTGATTCATCAGGTCCATAAATATAGCTGGCACGTTGGTGAGCCCAAACAGCATCACCACGAACTCGTAATGTCCATAAGGAGTCCGTAACGCGGTCTTCTCCACATCCTCCTCCCGTACCCTGACCTGATGGTACCCAGACCTCAAATCTATCTTGGAGAAAGAGAAGTAGTTGAAGACATACTCTACTTTTATGTCATGTGTTAGTTTCATGTTTGTTTTGTCGTCAATTTTGCCCTTGCCCCATGATTTTGCTTTTGTTTCCTTTTCCATGATTTTATCTATTAGGCTGACCATAAACGATTGTCATGTGTTAGACTTATCTTTTTATCTATTATGTTGACTTTAAATGGTTGTTTTGTGTTTGTTTTAATGCAATTCTGTATTATGTTTGTTTTGTGGTCAATTTTGCCCTTGCGCCATGATTTTGCTCTTGTTTTCTTTTCCATGATTTTGCCATGATTTTATCTACTATGTGGTAAATTTTCATCTTACCTATGTTTCCTTTTCCTTTAGTAACAGGTTATCTTTATGGCCAGTGACAGTGAAAGTGATGCCTCACATGACAGTGATGAATCATGTGATGAAATTGCAGAAAATGAAGAGATTTAAACACTTCTTTTATGTGGGCTTGCTGTCAAAGGGTTACTATTGACTCAAAAATCGAAATACGTACGTACACGTCGTCGTTCATCTTCGCAGACAGGAAGCATGCTTATCAATTAAATACTTAACGATCATGAGAGCCGATGTTATGAAATTTTCAGATTACAAGTCCCGGTTTTCAACATGTTATGTAGGGATCTTGTTGCACATTATGGGTTAAAGAAATCACGTCGTGTATCTATTGAAGAGTCCCTTGGTATTTTCTTGTTGTACTTAGCGCATGGATGTGGAAATCGGTTAGTTCAAGAGTTCTTTAACCATTTTGGGGAAACAATCCATAGGCATTTTCATAAAGTCTTGGATGTTGTGGTTAACCTAAGTAAGGACATCATCAAACCAAATGCTAACTACAACGAAACTATACCAGAACATATTTTAAATAACCCTCGGTATTATCCATACTTCAAGGTACTTATTTTGTTGCAAAGTTATGTTATTTGGTGAATTTGTGTAATTGTAAAAATAATTGGTAACTTATTATATTTTTTAAATTTGTAGGATTGTATTGGTGCTATCGACGAAACACACGTGAAGGCCTCTGTTCCGCAACGTGACCAAATCAAATACATTGGACGAAAGAATTGTGTTACTCAAAATATTATGGCAGCATGTGATTTCAACATGTGTTTTACCTTTGCGTGGGCTGGATGGGAGGGGAGCGCACATGACACGAGAATTTTCAATGAAGCGCGAAGGAGACGTGAAGTTAAGTTTCCACTTCCAGTCGATGGTTAGTATTATTACTTATTAATTGAAGTTTTATATTTTCAAACGGTATAAATGAATAACAATCATATGCGTTATTTGTACCTATATAGGTAAGTTTTACCTTGTAGACGCCGAATATCCAAATACAAAAGGTTATCTTGCTCCGTACAAAGGTTCAAACATCCGTTATCATATTCCTGATTTTCGACGTGGGCAGACTCGTGCCGCACGGGAACCAAAAGGCTTCAAAGAAAATTTTAACTATTATCATTCGTCACTTCGCAATGTAATTGAACGAACTTTTGGAGTCTGGAAGGCTCGATAGGTGTTACTAAGAGATATGCATGTAAATTTCGACTTCGAGACCCGAGTGAAAATTGTGCTAGCTTCAATGGCGATTCACAATTACATTAGAATGAGCGGTAGTGGTGATGCAGCATTTCAGATAGCGCAAGAAGAATCTTATATTCCGCGCAATGATGAAGGACTCGATGATGCTATTAAGCCACATGACGAAGTATCAAGTAGACAATGTAGAAATGACGATATGTATATGAGTGCAGTACGCGATATGATTGCGGGACAAATTTTCTCAAGGTCAAACACTAGTGCACATAATGATGTATGATTTGTTTTGAAACTCTTTGGTATTTTCATTTTATGGTTTAATGTAGTAGCATGAAACTAATTTGGGTTATAATTGTGCGTGATGGATAATATGGATTTGGAATGAAATTTGTGGTCTCATATAGTTTTGCATGATAAATGTTTTTTTAGTTCTTATGGATAAGAAAATTATGGTCTCATGTTTCTTGAATATTTCAATAAGATGTATCCAATCAAGTTAAAAATAGGTGTAAAAATAATGTGGTAAATGTTTTTTAGTTCTTATGCATAACAAAATTATTATTATTATTTAAAAAACAAAACCGTTTTGTTTAATAAGAAAAATATGTTAACATATAAGAGGAAGTCTTTTTGGTCATTTTACTTATATAAGTTGTTTTGTTTGCCAAACACTTAAAAATGCTTATTGATTATTGTTTATTCCCACAACAATAAGCTAATCCAAACACTTTTTAAAAAACTGTTTATTCCCACCGCAATAAGTTAATAAGCAGTAAACTAATAAGCTAAAAACCAATTTATCCAAACATCGTCTAAAAAAACAAATGGTTTTGTGTCTCACGGTGAAATCGACACACTCATCACACAAGTCGATGTGATGCTATCCACCTTCCCACAGTGCCAAATCATCGATGCTACCCACCTCCCCACAGTGCCAAATCATCCTACCGCATGGTGTGGTTGGGTATAAACGGATCCATTGTGTTTTGTGTATATTTGATCGGCTGTTATCCAAGTGTCATTTTAAAAATAATAAGAAAAAAAAGGACCAGGCGCATGGTAAGGTTCTCGGCCACAGTAGTTACAAGTCAATGGCTACCAAACACATAAACAAATGACATTAATCCATCGCACCTTATTGTTCTGTAGTCTGTAGATAAGTGGAAGTTTGAAGTCTCATAACCCTAATCCTCCATTTTTGCATCGATATTCAGTTATTCAGAAGGCTTCTGTTTTTTATTGTCTTACAGGTACTCATTAATTGTCTCTACTCTAGTATTATAAGTTGGTATTTGATGCACAATTTGACATTTGCTTGGATCGCATAGAGCTGTTTTGTTGATACTCATTAGAACTGTGCAGTTTATAGTTAAGGTGGAAAGCGTAGGGTGTTGATTCGAAGTTGTTAGTATTATATCTTTCATCTTCACGACTAAATTTATGACCAGTTTGGGTTTGTTGATGAGATTTAAGTTTTGACTAAATTTAGAGTCAAGATGAAGGAAGTTATTGAAGGTTTAATAAACATGACAAGAGCAGTGACGGAGCTAAGGGGATATCCCCAAAACAAAAATGAATGATCGATTTGTAGTTTTCCATGCTTATCAATTTAATTACATGGCTAATCATTTGAACAATTACTAGTCTTGGTATATGTCATTTTTAGCTCTGTATATGGAGGAGGAGAGTGATAAGTTTGAACTTGTATATTTATAAATTTCGTTTGGGTCATTTTAGTATAATTTAAACTGCCAGTGGTGACAACACAAACTCGGATGATCTTGTATTTCTCCCAGTTTAAGTAGAAAAGGAGCATGTTAAATACCAGAGTCATTAGTTGTTTGTGATTCAAATCAGGATCCCCCTTTGGGTTATTTATCTTTGTATCCTGTGACTTAGCGAATTGTATGATTAACCTGTTGTTTATTGATTCTTAGATTATACAAGCAGTTTTACATCAACTGTGGTTTGATGGAGCAAGTGACAGTTGAAAATGTCCAACTACTTCATGCAAAAAATGATGACCATGGAGGTGTAGTGGTAGAGCTTGAGGAGCATATGGACTCTGATGTCTTTCTCACACTGCTTAAAACTTCATTGTCAGAGTGGACAATGCAGGTTCTATTCTGATGCTGAAATACAAGTCTGCACAAATCATTACTTTATTTCTTTTTATATATGATACATGAAATTAACTTGTATTGTACGACATAACATATAACATATTATTGAGTTGTGTTTGTATTTGTGTTTGTGTATTGTAATGATTATGGGAAGGTTTTGACAGGGAAAGAAGGGTGTTTGGATTAAAATACCAATCCTTCTTGTTAATCTTGTGGAACCTGCAGTGAAGGTAGGTTTTGTTATAACTTATAGTAATAGTAGTTAGTATAAATTGGATTATGATTTGAATGGTAACATGAAAAATTGAAAATTGTGTGGGCACTGGCAGGAGGGTTTTTGTTATCACCATGCTGAATCTGATTACGTGATGCTTGTTAAGTGGATTCCTGAAACAACAAGCACTATCCCTGCAAATGCTTCTCATAGAGTAGGTGTTGGTGCTGTTGTCTTGAATCACAAACGAGAGGTAGCTACTCATCATTTTGGGCTATATTATATATTATTATTATTATTATTTATTATTATTTTGTTTGTTGATTTACAACAGATGCTTGTTGTCCAAGAGAAGAATGGGCCATTACGGGGAAAGGGTATCTGGAAGGTCCCAACTGGAATTGTTGACGTGGTATATAATAGTAATATTTTTTAGATTATTTTGCCAAGAAAGCTTTCTCCAGTAAAAGGTAAAAAACTAAAAAATAACAGAGTCCCTTCCATTCCATTCCATTGTGCAGGGTGAAGATATCTGTACAGGGGTGATTAGAGAAGTCAAAGAAGAGACTGGAGTAAGTTAGTTGAGTTTAATTATATGATATTCCAAGTTTCAGCCTTTCAGCCAGTCCTGATAAATGTAACATGTTTCAGATAGATACAGAGTTTGTTGAAGTACTAGCATTCAGGTTAGCCATGTGTCTCCTGAATAAATTATTACTGATGCTTAAAATGTGGAAAGAATTAGAATTAGAATTAGAATTGGGTATCTTTTAATAATTATCTATCCAGGCAATGGCACAAGTCATTCTTTGAGAAATCGGATTTATTCTTTGTGTGCATGATGCGGCCACTATCTTTTGACATCCAGATTCAAGAAGTAGAAATCGAGGCAGCCAAGGTTTTGTTAATTTAACTCTTTTAATTCTATCATATGCACTGAAAACACTGTTTCTATTTAACTGGTAACACTTTTTCTGCAGTGGATGCCATTGGAGGATGTTGCAGCTCAACCTTTTGCTCAGAAAGAGAGTTTGTTGAAATACATTACTGATTTATGCATAGCAAAGGTAGAGAGGGATTACTCTGGATTTTCTCCGCATCCCGTAACATCAGGTTATATTTATCTCAACAAGCGAGATCTAAATTAAAAAATAAATCCTACAGACAACGGTTCACCATTTATAATCTATTGTAACATTACATGATAAAAAGATTGAACCCAAATGTTATAGATGTCTGTTTTACAATACAAGAGATACAACAATCTATAGAGGTTAGCCCTACTCTACACAAATCCTACGGCCCATGGGTGAATGGAAAACTGAGTCTAAGGTGATATATATACATTCTAATATTTATTTGTCATTCCCCTCTTGTTAAAAATGTTAACACATCAGCTACTTGACATTGGAAGTTGTAATCATTCTATCTTTTAACTTTTTTCAATGTGCTTGGTTCTCTAATGAAATGAGAAATACTGGATATGAGTGGTGACCTCATTATCACACCATACATTCATTGGTCTGTAATGATTAGTTGTTCCCCTGGACAATTCTTCAAACACTCAAACTGATTAACAAAAAATATTTAATATATATATATATATATATATATATATATATATATATATATATAGAAAGGTGTGCAACTTACAATGGCATTTTCTTTATAATATTTTTGCATCCTCCTTACACAACCACTGCCAATTTTTATTTTTATTTTAAAAATCCATATACTAATTAATCATTTCTTTTTTCAAATATATACAATAGAGTAATATGTGTGACGTATTTGGAGAACTACATCCATACCAAAGTAGTTAATAAATCCATGTTTTCCTATGACATCTGATGCTTGCCTTTATAGTATGAGTATCCTCAAAATTTGCAAACACTTCTCGACAATGCAAAAGACGAAAATACTCTCCTCACCCTTATCATTGGTGAATTATATGCCCAAATGAAAAAATAAATTAAATATCTGCAGTAATGATCCAACCTTGGTGTGATTGTGAATCGATTTCCATGGAGTTGACCAAGAAGAAGACTTTCATTGACGAAACTACACACAACATCCATCTTTCGCGTGTTAAAGATTGATTAAAGATGAGAATTAGCCACTTGATTTTCATATTTTTCAAGAACATTGACCTGAGATTTCAATTTGAAATACCCAAAAATGCCAGTCATCTCAGATAGGATGTAAAAACAAATATTAACATGTTTGTCTATGTATGTGTGTGCAGTAATATAACTGATGCAAAAATAATAGTTACCGTTGAGCTGTTAGATCATGCTTATCTTTTGTACCAGAAAATTCATATGCCCCTGGCTGTAAAAATAACTATTAATAAGTGCAACCTTTTTTTTATTTTACTTTTTTATCAGTTTATGCAACCGATGTTTATTATACAACGATGTTGCAACTGCTTAAACATGTTATCGGTAAAATATTGCATCTTTTGGTCCTAAGTGAAAGGTCATTGCATATTTCGTATAAAAAGCCTCTTTGCTATGTAAATCGGGAAGAATGTAAACTGTCTTTACATAAATGCATATTTTAACCCTACAAAAAATACCAATTCTATTTAAATACTCAAAATGATGTGTGATTATTTAAGTAACAACAATAACCTAAATGTAAATCATCTATACAATCAACCCTAATGCCTCTTGTGTATCTTTGTTTTCCTCACAATTATGAAACATGGAGATAAATAGGTGAGAGAAACCATTAAGCTTACAAAAACAACTACTCATTTTATATGTACACACATGTTTATCAGAAAAAATAGACACAAATTTGTTACAAAAACTAAGGAGCAACAAAAATAAATGTATCAAAACCAAACAACAGATAGAAGGAACAAAAGCCATATTTTCTATTCTTTAAATATGAGATGGACTCCAATATTCTTTCTTTTTCATAGATTTTAACTTTTTGAACTATGAACTTCATGGATTTGAGATGAACATGAACTCCATATCTGCATCATCTTCTAAGTATGGAAAGTAAATTATCAACCAAAACAACTCAAAGTTTTGTTAAACAAAAATGATGAACAAATCGATATTTGCCTTACTTTGGCTAGGGTTTGACAGATTTGGTTTACCTGGGCTAGCAGTAAATGGAAGACCTCTTTGGCTCCTAACCGTGCAATAGAAAGACGAGAGTGGGTGAAGGTCTGTGAGTTGTTATTGACTGTCTATATAGTGGGTTTTTTCCCGATCTGTTCATGAGAGACGAAAGAAACAAACTAAAAACAATTAATGTTGGGTTAGCCTTAAAATCAACAAACAGAACTCGCAAACAATCGAAAAAAACAGAAGACAAAACATCAGAAAAGGTACTAACAACCGAAAAAATCAAATCCAAAAGTGCAAGTTGGTGAGGTGAGGCTAGGTCATGGTTCTAGAGGGTAACGATTGGGCGGTGGTGCTCTGGTTATCTAATGATGGCGGAGGAGAAGAAAAGAGGAGAGAAATGAAGAAGATGCAGCGAGTTCATGGAGGGGATCCTTACCAGAGATGTGGTGGTGACAGTGGAGTTTGGCGTGTTCATGAAAGAGAGGTGACTTCCGTGTTTCAGAAGAAGCACATAGATAATGGATGGGTGCGTGTTTGTCAAAACCCCTGGGTAGATTATGAGCGTGTTTGGCACGGAACTTTTAGAAGCGTTTGAGAGTTTCTAGCTTTTAGCTTTTGACAAAACGTTTTAGTTTAAACAAAAAACTTTGTTTGGCAGTATAAACGTTTAGCTTTTAGTTTAAACAAAACGCTCAAAATCTAAAAGCTACTTCATGTAGCGTTTAACAAAACGCTACTGAGCTTTTGAAATCAATTTCCATAATTACCCTTAAAAATATATTTATATGTTTATTTATTTTTAATCAATTGTCCTTTTATGTAATTTTATATATTTCAAAAGCTACCATCTATTTTTGCCAAACACTCATATAACAAATAAAACCTACAGCTTCCCGCTACCAGCTACTTCTATACGCTACCAGCTACCCACTACCAGCTTCCAGCTAACAACTACTTTTGCCAAACACACCCTATAACAGGTAGCTTGTAGCGTTTTGTTAAATGCTACATGATGTTAAAAGTTAACATTAATTTACAAATTATAGTTACAATAACTATTTTTTTTAAATAATAGACTATAGTTATCAGTCAAAGCTAAATATATTTTAAATTTTTGAAAAATAATACAATTCGTCCACAATTTAACAACATAAGGTAAAATGATTTAGAAAAAGACAAACGTAACATGTCTTAGGTCCCGTTTGATAGACATCTTTTCAGGTCCAAACAGATCTTTCTGGCTGAATGAACCGGAAAGACTGTTTGATATGCACAAAAAAATAGGTCTTTCCCGGTAAGATATGTCTTTCCCAGAAAGCTCCAAAACCATATCTTTCTGGTTGAATAGGCTGGAAAGACAATTGTGTCCCGAACTATGCATCTTTCATTCTTGCATTATTAATTTATTTTAAATATTTTTTTAATTTCTTTTTTATTGAATTATTATATATTAATAAATATTATTTTTAATATATTATATTTATGTATTAATTAATATTATTTTATTGGATTATTAACTTCTTTTAAATAATTCTTTTTTTATTTCTTTTTAATGGATTACTTTTTTTATTGGATTATTATATATTAAAAAATATTATTTATAAATATATAATATTTATATATTAATAAATATTACTTTATTGGATTATTAATTTCTTTTAGTTAATTTTTTTAATTCATTTTTATTGGATTAGCTCTGTTTTTTTTTGCACAACACTACCATCATCCTAATATATTTTGAAAAAATTCATCCATCCCACCACTATCGAACATAAACCGAGTCAAGAATCACATGTTGAGTTATAAAAAATTAAAATTGCTAGAAAGAATAACAACGTAACATTAACTTGAAAAAAAACTAAAAACAACTTAATCGACATTTTATTTGGATTTTAAATGATTATTGTGTAATTTTGATTTTGTATGACAATTTGTATGTTTTTATAATTATTCAGCAACTTCATCCATCACAATATAGAACAGCATGATAATATTGTTATTTTTCATCATTCAGCACAGTCAATCAGATGTACAATCAAATAACATGGTTTCTTTCCCAGTCAGAAAACTTTCCCATACAGCACTTTCCCAGTCAGCACTTTCCCGGACAGATTCTATCAAACGGGTCTTTACTCTCGCATACATTAAACTGTTTTTCATCTTTGTACGGAAATTTTTTAGATATTCATATTTTATTTGTTTTAATACAATACACTATTACCAATATATGACAACACATTGTTACAATTTATTAAGTGAAACTGTGAAGCAAATCATTAATGAAAACAAACTCATCACAATACATTTACTTTACATCTAAAATGTATTGTAAACTTTTTGTACGTAATTATCATTAAAACTTTCTCCAAATATAACATATTGTTACCTTAATTAAGTGTCACGCACCATTAAATAAAACAAACTCGTCACAATACATTTACTTTATATCCACAACATATCGTAAAACTTCCCAAAGATTCATTAAAATCTTATACATCGGCCATATCAAAACAGTTGTATATAGAAGAAATAAAGCAATCAAACTTGCCTTTTACTGAACAACAACAAAGATGTTAGAGAAGCTTATGAGACTTGCAAACAAAGTGATAAATAAAACACCAACTCCTATAGCAAAACCTATCTCTTACTAAAAACAACAAAGATTTTAAAAACCTTTTTCATCCCAGAATAGTAAAACCTATCTCTTCCTCCTACTCTCCTTTTTGTTATTCTCTTCCTTTTTCCTTTGCCTTTTTCGTAACAGAAGGCGGAGGATGGAAGAGTTGACAAAAGAGAAAGGTGGATAGAGATGAATGTGAGACGGTGGTGGTTTCACGGTTTTTATTAGAGTGAGTCGAAAAGAAGTAAGAGAGAAAAATATGTGTATGTCCTTTAAAAGTTAAGATGCATGTAGTAAAGCAAAGTAATATCACTATAGAGTGAGGTGCTAAGGAGATAATATTTTGTCAAATGTTAGTTTTTAAAGTGACATATTTGCTCCTTATTAAATTCATTTTCTATTTTTTTACTTTTTTTTATTTCTGATTTAAAATTAAAAGAAGAAGAAGAAGAAAAACATGTTATCACCCCCTTTCTCTTTTGGCTGCTACTCTTTTTCCTCATTCTTCATCTTTATTGCCTCCGGTAAACATCACCACCACCACCACCGGCCACAATCTCCACTTTAGCTTGTCGCCTCCATATCTCTCCTTCTCAAAGTTGAGTTCTGGTCATCGGAGTTTTGGTGGCTCGATTTTCAGATCTAGTCGGACCTGATGAAGATAGAGAGATGGAGAGAAAAAGGGAGTTAGGGGAAGGAGTAAGAAACTCTTGTCGGTCTCTAGATCTGTTTGTCGGAACGCCACATTTCTCGTCGAAACGCCTCCTTCTCCCCATGATGAAACCATGAAGGTCGTCGGTCTCCAGTTTTATTTGCTAAAACGCCGCCTCTTCGTACTCGTCTGAGCGGGATCTTCGCTGTAACACCGTAAATTTTCAAACAATATTTTTCATTTAAAAACCCAATTATCTCATTTCAAAATCACAAAATTCCACAAACATCAAGTTATCAAAAACATGTCTAAAAAATTGTTTATAACACAAATCCAGAATCCTCCAAAAACATATCTCCGACTCGGGTGTGTGTACAATCAAGCCGGCGCCTTCCCGTGATCCTGAGAAGTACCTGAAACACATAACACATAACACGGTAAGCACGAAGCTTAGTGAGTCCCCCAAAATACCACACACATCACATTAGCCACTCGAGGCTAGCTCAATATGACCCTCCGGTCAATGTGTCTCAGTGGAGACCCTCCGGTCCCACAACTCAATAAGCTCATAATAATAATACTCAGCATAAATCACAAAGACATAATGCAGGATATCATAATACATAAGTAAGCACATAAGGCACCTCGGTCACACAAAGATACCACTCAGGGTAAGTATAGTGAGAAGACTCACCTCGTAAACAAGTAAGTAGTAACCTCGTACGCGAATCTCGAACTAACCTCCGCCTAACACATAGGATAGTTATTTCTAATTAATACTCTGTTCACAACCCTAATTAAATCAAGGTTGTTCTTTTTCTCTCAAACTCTTGAAATAGGTAAAAGACCGTTTTACCCCTCCATGGCTCTCTTTAACCCTGTCTTGACCAAAACCCTAAAGTTAACAGAAGTCAACATCCGAGTAAACAGTCCATGTTTGACCCGAATCGCCGAGTACATCTATGTGACTCGTCGAGTCCACCTGTTTTCCTCATAAGTCTCATGAAAGTCCAGCTCAGCTTGTCGAGTTGACTTCCAACTCGGTGAGTTTTCGCATGATCAAGCTCATCGGGACAAACCCTAACCGACTCGTCGAGTCA